TCTTTAAATCTTGAATTTCTAAACATTGACATTCCAGGTATGAGCCTCCAGCTGATCCTTGTCTGGGAGGGTAGAAGAGCTGCTGTGGCTCCTCTGCTATCTGAAGAGGAGTAAATTTGTGCTGGGGGACAAGGCATGTTGGTAGACAAACCTGCTTTAGCTGCATTAGTTGGAAGAAGCCCAAAGGCAGCCCAGGAGACCGGAGGAGAGGCTCATGTTTTTCCAAATACAGAGCCTCTTCCTCCTGTAAAATCAGCAGCTGTTGAAAAAATTTAGAGTCCGTGCAAGCAGATGACCGAGAAACTGCCCACTCCACAGGCTATTAGTAAACAGGATGTTGGCAAAGTTGTTTTTGCGTATTCCAGTGGCAAGTCTGTCTCTTCTTGGACCCAGGAGCTGTATCTTCAGATGCTGCAAATTACTCATTTGTGCCAAGTGAAGAGCTGATCAGATCACTTGTTCTGGATGGCCAGAACACAACAGCTGCCATTTTCCAATGGTTTCCTGCTACTTCTGCGAGGAATATACTACAGCTGGCTGCTTCACAGGAGCTATAGACTCAATGTAGCTCTAGCATTGTAGCTGTAGGGTAAATTACAGATGTGATGATTTAATAAATAATGGGATGTTTCTACATTTCCAGAGTGAAACTGTTGTCAGCAATGGAGGAACTTCACATTCTGCAATGCAAATCACTTCTGTGTTTTGATGCTGTATAAAGCTGCATTCATTAGCTGTTCATTAGCAAATTGATCAGAGTCCAAATAATTTTTATCAGTGCTGAACTAGTAGTTTTGTTAATCGTCTGCAGTGTATTCAATGGTTGCTCATAGTGTCCTATTCCAGTCTGTGCCTCAGAAGGGAAAGCAAAATAGACTGATGTTCACAAATTTGATTTAGATCCAAGAGTACAGCCATAGTGGTATGATGTATTTTTTTAATGTATGAATAGTATGTGTATCCAGTAGTTCTATTATTCATGTGTATTTCAAATATAACATATTAAAATTGTTTGACTTCAGTTGTCTGTGCTCAAACAAAGCATTTCTTGCTGCCCTGCTTCAGAAGTGTGGTCAGAGCCAGTAGCATGACTTACATGCACAGACTACAGATTTAGAGACGGGAGTGCAAAAACTGCTTAAAACTAATGACATAACCGACATAACCTTTTTTCAGCTCTGCATGGCAGGTGAGTCATGGACCCGAATTTTGATTTTTAACATACGTTCATAAAAAAAGACAAATTATCCATAAGTATTTCTTAATGAGTTAGGAAGAATATGCACATTTGGGAGGAAAAAAGGGCGGCTTTATTAATTAGTAGTGGTGAAGATACTGGTTTAGCTCTTAATGCAAAAGTTTATATCAAAAAGTAGGGAATATGTGGTCTACAAAGAAGATAAGCTATTTCAACAAGTTATAAGTTGTGGCTGTCATTTACTTTACAAAAAAATTACTTTTTTTACCACATCATGACATGTCAGCAGTTGTTCATGCCAGAACTGCATATTATAAAAACCTGTTGGAATAATACTATGTGCATTTTTATCCCAGTAAACAATACTGTGTAATACATTATTAGCTTTTTTTTTTATTTCAAGATATTTTTTCATAGGCTTTTCCTGGTTTGTGTTTAACTTTGTTTCTTGTTTTAAGTATCTAATTCAGCAGAAAACATTCAACTGATTTTATACATAGACCTTTTGTAGGAAATGATAGAATTATTTCAGGGTTTTCTAACACTGTTTCTGCTCTGAATTAAGCCAATGGACAAAAGCTTATATACCCGAATGATGCTTTCTGTGCATAAAACACACTGTGAAATATCAACCCTGTCATGGATCTCCCGCGCTCAGATACTGAAGGAAGGAAGCATAACAAGAAATGACCTGCAAGTGGAAGAAATGGGAATACAATCCAGGTTTGCAAAACCTCATGCCAAACTTCTACACCCTGGTCCATACAACCCAAACTGAGCAGCTCATCTTCATCCTGCCATGTGAAATGTTTCAGGTGGCACATTATAGAAGTCTCTGGATTACACCATTTTTAAAAAATGATTTATTGTACCTGTGATGTTTTTTTAGAGATTATAATATTCAGACTGTTCTCCACAGAGGCTATTTCCTGGTGTGGCATGGTGTAGCAATAGGCAGAGATACCTGGGCTAGTTGGGAACAATTTCCCCAGCTACCACTGCGTGTTCCCACCAGCCCTGATGAGCACTGATGGATACGAGCTTGAATGGAGCACTGCACCGCTGAGCCTCTCTGGCTTCCTGGGACAGTGTGGTCTGACTTGGCTGCGGTAACATCTGTCCGAGACAGAAACAGACGGATTCTACCTCAGATGAATCCTGCCTGGGATAATACTCTATTCTGTGCAGTGAATGGGAATTCAGTGTGAGTGAGTGAAACTGCTTACAACTGCTGAAATTATTCCATCTGTTTCCATTCCATGAGGTGTGAAATGGGGAAATCATCATTCTTTTGCTGTTACTTATGTTCTATTGATATTTTTTTATCAGATCAGCCTTGGAACATTTAATAAATTGCACCTTGAAAAATTGTGTGAAAACAGCATTGGAAAAGTCAAGTACCTTCTGTTGAAAAGTAATGCTGTTTTCAGAAAAAAAGAGAAAACTGAGCCTGAAACATTTCTGCTAGCTTGGATGATAATTTATCTCCTGAAAAACAAAGGCTGTGCTACTAGATGGTGAATATATTTTATATTGCCACAACAACTCCTCGTCTGCTTTCTAAAGTGTTACAAATTTGTGTGAGAAGGAAGAGCTTGTTTAAGTTAAGCTGTAATAGTACTTCATGGTCAGCATAACAAAGTCCTTAGTAGGGATAGCCTCAATAAATAATACCTTCTTCTAAGTGACTATTCCAGTAGAGTTTTCTATATAATTTGGAAGGTGCTTTTGATTCATAAGTAAATACTTCCTGAAGGGTTATCTTCACTCCTTTTTTTCCCTGCACCACTAGCATAGGCTCCAGTGATGTATTCATACTTGGGTGCAAATTGAGAGGTGTTCGGCTTCTATGTGGGTCTGGTTTTGCCTATTGACTTGGACACTGCAAAATGCGTGTTTCGTTTTGTCCACTTCCCGAAGCTCAAGCTCAGCCTCTTCCCTCTGTTGCCACGCCAGGCAATGCAGCAGCACCACCCTGTGGGAAATAACATTTCTCCTCATTTACAAGGCACTAGGCAAGGACTAGAAGGCAGCGTTTGCACAGAGCATCCCCGGGTAGTACTGCGGTCCAGCGCAATCTCCTCCAGAGCCCAAAGAAGGTAAGGCACAATAAATAGATTTCTTGCATAACTATGCCTCACATTCAATTTCTTCACTGTGGCGAAGATCGAGCTGCTCTGAGTCTTTATTTTTCTCAAAATACTTTATTGCTTCTCCTTATTTCTGCAAGGTTCATTTTCCAGGAGAGAGGCAGGAGAGGCCCTGGTGGCAGGGTGTGGAGGGGAGCACAGATGTGCCAGCAGGGCTTTGGGAACATGCACCACCTCTTCCTTGACATCTTCCCTGCTGCCCTCTGTGCCCTCAGGAGGGTTTGGATGGCAATGATGCTGGCCTTAGAAGCCTCAAGATTGAGAAAGGCAGTGAGGTTGCTTAACATACCCTTTTGCCCACATAGCTGAGCACAGCACCATCGGTAGTCATCAGTTCCTGACTTCAACCCTACTGTTGGCTCCTGCCAGCTTTCAGGAGCGGTGTGTCAGTCCTGCTCCCAGTCCTTCCTGTTCCCCTCCCTTGCTGCTCTCTCCATAGGTAGGGCCACCTCTTTTTGTTAAATTGAAGCTGGCAGGTGGCTGGAAAACAAGGATGGATTTTGCCCCAACCCTTTCTTAAGAAGAAGATGGGGTTGTATTATGTACACTGTTAAGCTCCTGATTACTTTTGCTTGTATTATGAAAGAATCTTTGAGGGAGAGCTGAGAGAGGAGAGGTTTCTTGACGTTTCATCAAGACATTGCATTCTGCTGCCCTGTTCTCCAGTGCTCGAGCAACTCTTGGCTCTAGCTGCACTCTGCACTCTATGTCCAGTTGAGTACATTTCTTGTGTGTGTTTTCTATCCCTGGTTTGTCTCACAAGCATGGCTGCAGATACCCATCTCTTTGACATCTCAAAGACTGCCTTTCTTTCCTCTCCAGATGTTTGCTGTAGCAGTTCCTGAGAGTGCAGTTTTGGGTAAACTAGACAGATGTTCGTTTGTGCAGTTTAATTCTTCAGTGCAACACCTCTGAAGCCAGCTTTGCTAACAGTTTAGGAAAATAAATGGGGCTATCTCCTGACCCTTTCATATCCTGCCAAAACTTTATCCCTGTTACTTTTTTCAAATGGGCATTTCCCTTTCTTTCATCTGCTAACATGAGGATTGGTCAGCAGAGAGATACCAGAAGCAACAGCTGATGGATAAAATGCTCTTTAATAGTTCACAACAATAATACATGTGTTGTCAGCTTTCCAGTGAACTAGCCAAACAGCGGTTATTTTTCATAGGTATGTAAACTGAACAAGTCTTCAACAAAAGTTTCTTCTAAATAACACCTAAAAAGACATTTTAAAATACTTAAAAAAGCATCAGAAATTCTATTTGTGTATAAGCACGCCTTTCAAGTGGATAGATTAAATACAGTATTATTCCCTTATCTTTTTCTCAGTAGAAGGTAAGATCTAATTTCCAGCTTAGAAGTTCTGTGTTCTACAGATCATCACTTAAACACAACCTTTATACCAGCGTTAGCATTGAAGAGTAAGATAGCTTAGCTATTATTTAGTATTTCCAAGCATGCTGTCTTTTGGTGAACGAACAAACAAATGAACAATCATCATCTGCAGTTTCTACATTATCACCAGAAAGTGATGCCACCAGATGTTTTCATCTGGTTGTAACTTCAACCTTAAAAAAAAAAAAATGTTTTGGAAGTCTGTTGAAATGTCCTTGGGCTTGGTTTTTTGGGTTGAAGGATTTTTGGGAGCTTTAGCTTGAGATGGAAAGTCGTAGCTCACATAATGCACTCAGATATTCTTCATTGTCAGGATGTAATGCAATGGCTTTCTCATAGCACTCAATTGCTTCATGTTTCTCACTGCTTAGATTATGAACGAGTCCCAGTGTACCAAAATCTGCTGCATCTCCTAAACCTTGCTGAATTCTCTGTTCCAACAATTTCTTCAGAACATTTCTGCACTTATTCCTCATATAAGAATCTGTTTCAATTTTTAGCCCTTCTATGTAATATCTAATGGCTTCAGATTCTGATTTCATATGAAAATGCTGAAAATTGCCATAATGGTAGTAGAAGTCTTGTTTATCAGTATGAGATAGAATATTTATCTGAAACGCTTTCTGAAATGTCTCTTCTGCTTCTTCATACCTCTTTGCTACTGCATACATGTTTGCTAGATCAATATGGGCAAAAAAAAATTTGGGGTTTTGGTCACTTGCTGTTTTAAAATGAAAAATGGAAAGTCGGGTGAGTTCCTCCACTTGCCTTTGAGGTGGATATCTTGTAGCCTTTTTCAACTGAAACAGCTTTGTTTTGTAGCAGAGTCCTACTTGGTGATGCAAAAAAGCAGATTTTGGTGTCACTGCTAGAGCCTTTTTCAAAATCTCCAGTGCCTTGTCCGCTTCTCCTTTCCTTCTGTAAAATTTAGCAGCATATCGCAGGAGATAAGGAAGATCAGGGGTTTTCTGCATTGCTTCTTCAATGTACCTCTCCCCTTCATCAACTTGCTTTAAGTCCTGAAATTTTAATGCAAGTAATGCCATAATGCAAGTATCCTTTGGATTCAGTTTCGCTGCATGCTTCAGGGGCTCAAGGGACAGGCTTACATCTTTGCATTCTCTGTGAAAACTATCATCCAAACGATACATTGCTATTGCATAGCCGGCATTAAATTCTGGGTTATTGGGTTCACTCTTCAGAGCTTTTTCAAAGCAATCCCTTGCTTTCTGGTAGTATTTTGCCCCAAACTTTAATAATGCCCATCCTTGCTCAGCATAGATCTCTGGAAGCTGAATCTTCTGTTGAGCAGTAATTGAAAGATTTTTGCAGCTGTTTTCTACTTTACTTATATAAGTTTGAGCTTCTTTGTATCTCCCCATGTGGTAATATATCCAGGCATAGTTCCCCCAAGTAACAAGATTCCTCCTGGCAATTTCATCTGGATAATTTTTTTGAGCAACTTCTTCAGCTTTTTGGAGATTTCTCAGGGCTTCCTCATTTGAATTTTTTAGGTGGCATACATAGGATAGTAGATTATAATTTGTGATGTTGTTTTTTGTGAAAAACTCTGTCTGATCGCATATCCTTTCCTCTAGGTCATCAAGATCCACATCCTGCTTCAGCAAAGTCCATGTAAAATGACATTCTAGCTGCAGCAGGGAGTCCTTCAAGGAATTCTTGGAAATGGAACTGGAAAAAATCAAAGAAAAACTTACTTATACTCTATTTGCTTTTTGCTACTCTTATTTTTAAACCAGGCATGATATACTTGAAAAGCAGGCAATACCTCACCTGGTGCCACTAGTCAACAATATTTCAAACAAGCCAAAGCTGTGGGAAGCCATAGGTCTAAAGAGGTGAATAGTTATTTTAGTAATTCTCCTTGCCACCGTATGGGGGCACCTGTTACATAGCAACAGAGCTGGTGGTGGAGATGTCAAAGAGGAGTGCTAGTCTCTATGGTAAAGCTGGTGCACCTCTGGGCCTCAGAACATATTACCTATGCTGGGAACAATTGCTGAAGCCTCCCCAAAAGAGGTAAATCAAATAAAAAACTTCCCCGCAAATATATATCTCATGACTGGAATGCTGCACTGGAGGGCTATAAGCTCTT